TGCCCTCTGCACCAACTCGTGGATAGCAGATTCGCAGGATTTTTCCATTTGGTAGGCATATTGGTTGTGGTGTAGAGGACTTCTAGTAAGAACCTGTTCCCTGATGTCTGTCAATCAGCTTGCCTAGTGTTTTGAGTAAGAAGGATGTTAGGCTGATCGGACGAAAATATTTGACCTGGGCATACGTCGCCGCCCTGGTTTTGGAATGAATACTACTTTCGCCATTCTCCATTCAATTGGTAGATATGCCACGGCCAAGCTGGCCCGGAGCATCTTGCACAAGAGGGGCACCAGTAAATCGGTTCCCTGTTGTAGCAGAACTGGCATTAGGCCATTTGTTTCCGGTGATTTAAATGGTCTGAAGGAACTCATGGCCCACTTAACTTTGGTTTACGATGCTTGAGGCAAGAGTCCAGTGCTCTTTCAGTGCACGCTGTCGCGTCCTGTATATATAATAAAAATGTATTTCTAAATTATTACAGCTCCGGAATAGAATGGATGTATTTACAATATACAAATAAATACCCTGAAAACTTTCGCTTGGGGGTTTTCAGGCTCTATGATGTAGGATTGTTGGCGCAAGCAGCGTAACTTTATGGACACATTTCAAAATATTTGCCAAAAAATCGAGTAATAAGTCAGAGTTTTAAAACATTTAAATTTAATTACAAGCTGAGGAGATATTTAAAAATGGAAAACATGAGACAAAGGGGTGAAACATTAAATACAAAGCACGCTGGGTTTAAACGTCCTCTGACATGTCTAAGTTGACGTGTTTTTGAGTTACACCGAATTTCCTTGGCTTCACAAAACAATGGGGTGGGAATATTTAATTTAAACACACACTGTAAAACCAAAATATTATATTTAAAGTATATAAGTTAGTGTATTTATAACAAGAATTTCCAAAAATAATAAAATAATATATAATAAATCACAAAACATACTGATATTGTCATACAATTGAAACCCATTTTTAATTTAAAAAACTAGCAGAACATTAATTGTTTATAAAAGTTATATAAAGTTATTATTATTAAAAATTATATTAAACTACAAATATGCAGGATCATTAACCGAGTTCATCATGGTCATGACAGCGAGGCAGAAATCATTTTTTCCAAAGTTATCAGATGTGTCACCCTGTTTGGCACAAGGCCTGGCATTCTTGTACCCAAAGATCTACAGATACAGCATCATTGTTATGTCTTTTTTCATCTCTAGTCTCAATATTGTAACTGCGTTTTATATTGTCAACATCCTTGAAAGTTAGCAAATCTATGCGTTGCAACGAATCCTGAATTTTGTCTCTGGTAGAATCTACAATCCTACAAGCCAAATAAACGTTTGTTAACTCATGCCTATATGAATAAATTAGTATACATATAATTAGTTATATACGTTTTATAGCCATATAAAAACTTTTGTAAGTTATAATCTGTCACCAAAATAAGTTCACTCACAACACACATGGAGTGCGATATTAGACATTATAGTGTTTTTCATTACATCATCAGTAAAGTTCAACATATTTGACTATAAAGTTTCTAGTTATCTACTGTTGCCCATAAAAAATGGTAAAAAAGCATTGAACAAAATTTTAGAGCGTAAATAACATACAAAATATAAATGTATTAAATAGTGTTTTACCTCGTCTTGGTTACACCAGCTATTAGTTTTGAAGCAATTAGTCCTTTGTCATGATTTTAAATCCTTAAGTGTTGTAGATCTAGATTGTGGCCATAATGTGTTTTTTGAATATGCACATAGAACTTATTTTCATTATGTCTCAGTTTTAAAACACTCGTGCAGGCACTATCCACTTTACAACTTGCCTGACTTTTCAGCTGCCGTACTCTCTGTTGCACGCTCCGTTTACCCACCAAATTAATATTGTTTTAAACAATATTTTGTTGAAACGGCGATTTTTTTCAAATGTACCTTCAAAAACCACTTAAAAAATCAGAAGAAAGAAATTTTGGGATATTAAATATTAAATTATCTACCGTTTTATTTTTAAATCTATCATTTTTTTCTATCTATTCTACCGTAACTTCTTGGTCTGGCAATGCCGCCTACTAGCAGAGGCAGGGGCAAGAAAAGAAGAAGACGAATACAGAATGTCAAAGGTAATATTAATTGTTAATGTTCTATGTTATTATCAACAAAAAACTGAAAAACTTATTGTTTAGTAAAATAAGATTAATTAGTGTCATGGGATATTTTAGTTTTGTGCTGCTATTAATAAAACCAGTAAGTTACAAATTGTGAACAAGCAAGAAGTTTCTTTAAAGTTCTTGTTTACATATATATAACTTTTATTTTTATCAAATATGTTATCTTAGGTACTGATTTAAATGGCTAAGTTTGGGGCCAGCACAATGTCCTTTAACATAGAGACAGCGGAAGCATCAAAATGGAACAGCACTTTACATCAAGTTTCCTTGGAAGATCTGAAAATGGATTCCAACTTTTTAATGCTGTTATTTTCGTTAATATTTGCAGTACTATGGGTTATTTACATAACATACTACAATTCACGAATATTAGGCTACATTATCACAAAGGTGGCAAACAAGTTTATTAGTGAGGGATATTTTCGAATAGGTAAGTACACCCCATAAATATCAGTAAACTTCATGTCCAGAGTAGCCCGCAGCCTTATTTAAGATTATATCAAATTGTCTTTTTGGTAACATACAACATACATATGTAGTTTTGGGTGAATAACATTTTAAAATTAGTTCCAGTTATACCTGGTAACCGCGATTGTGATTAGCAACCGCAAATCCCCACGACTATTAATTTCTGGTCGGTTTCTTTTTTTGTCACAAGGCTTATAGCGGCACTTAATCAAGAGCTTCCGTACAATCACTTTAATGCTGGATATTCAATCGGGATTTGTTTCAGTTCCCCATTTGTGGATAATTGAACAAGTTGCTTCTGTATTAGTATGTATTCATCTGCATTTGGGCTCTGAGTTTGACAACTTGCAAAAGGGTTCTATTCTTTAATTTTTGATTAATCCCTAAGCTGCGGTTTTAGTGGTCCCATCGGCGACTGCGGCACGGGGTTTAAAACTAGATGAGAATAAGTTCAGATAGTTCTTTCGAGTAATCCTGACCAGCTTCAGTTTGTTCAAGGGGGTTCAGGCATTTTGGCCAGCAAAAGGATACGAAGACCTGGAACCAATTTTGTAAAATTTTCGATAAGCGCCAGAGAAAAGGTGGTTTTAACAATAAGATAACGTAAAATTCACAATCTGAAAGAGCATTTTTTTAAATTTGACAAGATCTGGAGGCTTATATTAATCCACAAGTAAAACTTCCATCGTGGATTCATTCTTACCTGAATTAGCACTTTTAGTATTTTTTCCCTATTTTGTGCTCTGATGAATGTCCTTTAGGATCAACCGAGAGATCGACCAACCTTTCTGAGTCATTTTCATAAATTATTTGAATTGCAGAGTTAGATACACATATATTTTTCTATAAAATGAAAATATTTGTCCATTGATGGGGCTATTTTTCTCCATCGATTTTTTTTAACCTAAATTTTTAAATCTTCATCTTAGTAATCAGAAATTGAGGGGTATTTCTGGACTTCCTCAATTAAATCGTAATTGTGACTGCTATTTGACTGGTCCGTCCACCAGTTGAGTCGCATTAGCTGCGACTCGAGCCACCGCGTCTCCAATCGGACCAGATAGGTCCATTCTTTAAAATAGGAATTATGATTCCGTTCTTCCATGACTGGGGTATTTTAAAATTTCGTGATATGAGTTCATGTTTTTCTTGTGTTAGATGCTGAAAAACCTTGCTTTTAATACGATGTTTTTCAAATGTGCTAAGGCTTCGTTATATTCGTTTATGTTTATGTTGTAGTATTTCGTTTTATTTTTTTACTCGCTTTGTTCATAAAATTTGTGAATTTTTTCGTGGCAATAAAGCATATTTTGATGTGATTTGATTTGATTTGATGCGGAGTATGTAATGATTTCGCGGTTTAGTCCGGTCGGGTTTCTTGAAAAGTCATCATGCCATTTGTTCACCCGTTCCCAGTTGTCAAAGTTTGTGTTTTTTGACCTTTTGAAGGCTCTGTGTTTTATCTTTGTCCGGGTATCGTTCTGTTCTTGTTAATTGGTAGTCTCTATCTAACTTGTTTTTCTGTATCTGGATATTTTTCCAATTTTTTGCCAATATGTTTTTCCTTTACCTTTTTCGATTTCTTGGTATGTTTCAATGCATGTGTGTTAACTTTGTCAAAGTCGGTCTTGTTCAGGTTGAGTTTTTCGCAGCGGAACTTTGCTGTGGGGTGGTAGGTATAGTTAGTTGTGAGTTGAAGTTAAAACTCATAACCAAATGGTCTGATCCCAGTTCGTTGCCCAATCTTATCCTGTCTATGTCGTTCGTAAGGTTTCTTGTGTGCAGTAAAACCTCTGGTGTTGAGTCTTGATTCTCAGGCATTAAAAGTGCCGGTGGAGGGCGTAGTCTTATAAAACCTGAATTTTGCAAACATCTTTTTAGTTGTCCCTTTTTCATCTTGTTAATGTTAAGCTCCCCAACAATTTTGCCAAATTTGCATAGACTGTCTTTCGTTAAGATATTTTGCTCTGTGTTGGAGCGTGGGCGAATATATTTACATTAAGAAAATATACACTGTCGCCTAGGCAAGGTAGAGTAAAATGAAGAAAGTCGTTCAGAGGGTTGCTTAGTGAAGAAGGATTGGCCTTACTCAGTTACACCGTTGGCTTGAGTAGGACTGTCGCATCACCTCTAGCATTAGCCGTGGTGTTGCCATGTTTCCAAATATATCGCCAGTTTCTGTAAGTAGATGTTTGTCCCAGTTTTGTTTTGGTTTCCACAAACATGCAGCGGTCAGTGTAATTACGTTGAATGTAGTTTGTAACTTACCTGTTTTTTGTTTAAAATAATTTAAGTTGAATGTTCTACGTTAGTAATTGCTTGTTCTAATTGTTCATGGGGTTCGGTCGGGGAGTTTTTGTTAGGTAGGAGCATGTCGAACATCAGTACATACATATGATTCCAAAAAAGGCAAACCGAGGTATCCATGTCAAAATAATTGCTTTTGCAATTTCTTTAAGAAATCTTCTCTGCTAGTGTTGGTAGAGTTATTCACTTGATGTTTGTATTTGTTTAATATAAGAGCATGCTCTGTTACTGGTGAGTGTATTCTGTTATTCTTATTTGTCGCACATGAGACCTCGGATGTCCTCTTATTAAGACATTTAATCTTAACAGTAGGAATACCGCTGATCGGTGCTGTTCGTCGCTTTGGACATTTTACGCTCCATGCTGCATGCTCGTCCGAGTTACAGGCAGCGCATTTGATGGGAAGCCGAGACTTGGAGCTGAATGTCGAATGCGGGCAAAGCATTTGTTGCATTTGGCTGTTGTTTTGCAGATCTCGGTCCGATGTTCGAAAGGGTTGCATTTGAATCAAGGAGCAGGAATCAGCGTTTTAGGCTTACTCTTCACCACCCTAAATAGTTGACCAAGGAAATGCACTGTGGGGTCGTTCATCAATTTCTCGTATGTGGCAAGGTCGCCTGTTATTACCCTGATCATCACGGTGGGACTGTTTCTCGCTCTAGATTTAATTCGTTTGCAGAATCTAAGTAAGTCCTGATTTTCCAGATGTTTAAGAAACATTTCGTCGGTGATTTCAAGGTCCACTCCAGTAGCAACCGCTGAGTATGGTGGTATGATCTCCGTTGCTGGATTAATGAAGAGTTGTCTTTTTTTGTAACTTAAAGGATGTTATTTTATCTCCTTGCTTTTGTTGATTTAGAATTTCAGTTGCGTTATTTCCATGGTTGGTTTTTATTAGAGAGTAGTTTTCTTTCTAATGGTGATATCTTTGTCGCTGGGGTTGAGTTTTTCCCACCTGATGCAAGTTGAGCTCTGGTGATAGTGGGTATTGCGTACGCTGTGAATGTGGGCGAAAATATAAAAGATCGTTTTGATGTTGTTTTGTTGCTTGTTGTTTGGTTTCGGTCGGTTTTAACATGTTGCTCTAGAGTTATTCGTTTGGCATCAGCTGTTGGCATTGTGGGAGTTGGCTGAGATTTCCTCGGTTTGCTACATAGCTTGTTGTACTGCTGCTTAATGAACCCATCGTCATGGGAGTTCACACAGCGACACTGATACGGCTTGTCGTATTGATGTAGCGAAGCAGGGCGCCACCTTTTTATATGTTGGGAAACAACAACGGAGAACACTGTGTTGCGTTATGTTGTTTCTTGGCCTTCTTCGCCGACTGATTTTTTATTAAATCTGATATTAATCAAAAGGCAGGCATTTGCCTTTTGATTAATACCTAAATGCGAACAAATAATGCAAAATGCTACAATCAGATATTATTTTTTTTAGTCGTATACGAGTGAATTTTGCTCAAGAATAAAGTACCTTTATTTTTCACCATATCGAACATTGTTATTAAGAAAAGTTGATCAGAACTGAAAACTACGTTCCAATATGCAATTATATCATCACCGAAACTATACAATATTTCACTGATCTGATCGATTATGGTTCCTGGAGAACTGAACATTAATACTTATAGATGAAAGGTGATAAACACAATCATCACTCACATCAATCACAACATTTTCCGTTGACAAATGGTTACTAAAACTGCTGCAACTAGATAGATGGCTCAACGGTGCCGCATCGGTTTTGTGCTGGGGCGAACCACTTTTTCGGGTTTATGAGACTATTTCAAAAGGAACCGGCTAAATTGGCAAAGTTTAACTGCGGTTACAGGTTACACGTCTGGAACACTGTTATTTTAGCGGTTACGTTAAATTCCGTCCATCCTTAAGTCAGACTGTAGGGGCGTCGGCAGCGAGAGGGAAAGGGGAACAATTAAAAAAAAATGGTATATAATGCAGACTGGGAAATTTAAACTTTTAAAAGGTTTTTATAAAAAAATGGAAATAAGTAAATACCCAAAACTAATAAGATCAAACCGAATTAATTAAAACAGAGATTAAAACACAATTTGTTTTTGTAAATTAATATCTGAAATATATCGTATATAGTGTATGTCGTCTTTAACAAAGAAAACGCTTGAATTCTAACAGGTGTCAGTGCACATATTTTTTTGGTTCTGTTTGAAAGACAATTACATTTCACTATGACTACAAAAGTTAGAAGGTGCCATTTAAAAAAAACTGACTTAGACACTTATTTCAGGATCTTTAAGTCTAAATGCCCTATCGGGCAAAATTATGTTTCGTGATTTTGCTTATATAACCCACGATTATACACTACGAATCCAAGATGGTTACTTAATTTTTCGATGGTGGAGGTCTTACGTTCCCAGAGACGTTAGTGAAGATCTGTCTCATTCAGATACGAGACTGTCAGTAATGCTGAATGGTTTTGAGCTGCATGTATATAACCGGTATGCAATAGTATTCAACCTAATGAATAAATAATGCTTATTATATGAATAAGACTTACCAAACTAATTGTTTTATGTATAAAATATGATAATAATTTGCAGGTCGTATATGTATTCCAATCTGGAGAAAACATTTGGACTACCTTCTAGTATATTCCCAAACAACAAGGATAATCAAGTGGTTGATGAGATAGAAAAGTAAGTTTGGGTGATTGTTGCTGCGAAGAAATACATTGTATAACAAAATATTCTAATTACAAACTATACTCATCTAGGAATGAAAACGAAACCCAAAATCAATCTAAGAAAGACACTAAAAAACAACGCCCGGAAGCAGCGATGGCTCGAACATGGAGAGATTTGATACCAGTTATTAAGTGCGATATTATGTCTAGTAGGCTGGTTTTCGGCAATAGACTGGTTCCAACTACGCTAAGTATTACATTCGAAGAAAGCCATTTTGTGTACTCTACAAAACCTGCAGTTTGCACGTTGGACAGATTTATGCATTTTGTTAAGTGCAAGGCAGAAAATGTGCGGGTTATGTTGGCTCCCAGCTTAAAATACACAGGTAATTCTATGAAATATTTTTTTCAAAGAAAAGGTCGGGTTGAGAAACTGTTCAAATAGGATGTTGTAGTATACTGCAAATTCCTTTATGCAAAATTGAAATGTACAGCTTGGTCCGCCATATTTGAGACTTTATCTCATGATAATATGTATTATAAAATATTTAAAAAAATTACTCTCTCTGACTTTGCACGGATTTTTCATACTACCCTGGTATAGATTGCCTGCTTCGTGAGTCTCACCATTGGAATCTCGGAATCTATAAGAAATTCGAGGTAACTTAATTTCGCGTTAAGTGGCGCATATTTGAACTTTTTCAAATGCCGTTTTAAAACGTGGAAAATTTTGATCACTTCCGAAGATATTAAAAAGTTGTGCGTCACGGGACGCCAGACTGAAGTAATAACTTCAAATGACATGTATAGAAACCATAAAGTATTGTATTTGCTGTAAAACAGACTAACGTTAAAATGAAAACAAAAACAATAAAAGTACTTGACTGACTGGTCGGCCCTATCAGTACTGCGACCAGTCTTATAAAGCCAGCTTTAGCTTTAGGCTTATACATACATATGATAAGTTTATATATTTACTACCAATGAAATATATTTAAAGGCATGTTAATTAATTACTAATTGATAATTTTAGGGATGTTAGATGAACCACCGCGTTATATGGGAGAGGGGTTCGTGTTGATGTCGTCAAATGATTTGGAATTGTATTTCTACATGGATGAGCCCGGATTGGTTCCAGAAGAACCAGTGTTAATTACGCTTGCCAACGGTGATATTGGTAATCGATTTAATCCAGTTATTATATCTATTTTACAAATTTAAATTCATTAGCAAAAGTGGAGCACTGCTCAAAAATACTAAAATATCATTTTACTTAAAATTTTAGTAGATTTATTATTTATGTTTATCTCTATGCAAGTTTTATAAAGTGTGTACTATTTGACTTATGCATGGTGTTCCTACTCTGTATTTAAACAGATTTATTCACGCTATACAACACGGGATATTGTTGTTAACGTTTGTCTTAGGGTGCCTTATTTATGGTAATGGGTAATGGGTTTTTACACATTTTTTTCTTTGGTGAAATTGATTAATGACGAACAAATAAGGGCCCTAGAAATGTTTTCCTAAAGCGTTTTTGTTTCTGTCTAGGCGTTATGTGACGTCACCGGGTATGTTTCAGCTCCGCCCTATTCGGCGCTTATCCGTGTTTGATTAACCAAATAATTAAAAAAATGTATATATTTGTCTTAAAAAAACTGACAAAGTTCCCCGTGGCCAGGGCACACAATTAGGTGCACTAAAATATGTTTTTAATGACCGAATTTGCAAAATGATTCTTGTATAATTTTCGGCTTGATTTAAATGTGCATCTAGCAAAAATTTATATTTTAGACTTTGTTAGTTTTAGCTTTAAGCCGACGATTTGATCCCTTATAGTAGCACCAACAGACTACATCTTATACCCAAAATAGTGGGTAAGAACGTTCACCTTAAATAACCAGAAATTGATTCAAACGCAGTACATAGACCGTAACTACCGTACTATGCGTAGTACTAACTTGACAATACTGTCGCGTAGATTCCCCCTCCATTCGCTCGAGTTGCGAGCAGAGGGCACCTCTGTCTCCTCTTGTGGAGAGCGGGAATCACGACCTTGTCCCTGCATGACAAGGTGATGGATGCGCACAATAAAACTAAGATTTAAACAAAAAAA